TTGTGTAAGAATATTAGCGGTTTTTCCATCTTTTTTAAAGTTTAAGACGCAGAAAGCTCGCTCAAAACCTCGCTTAAAACCTTGAAAAATTGTTTTCTGTAGGTTTGACGACGTGCTCTTTTATTTGGACAGGTCAAAAAATGTTTTTGGCGAAAATGATTTTTCGGTTGAAAAGCCAAGATCTTTAAAAAACGGGTCTTTAAATCGAAAGAGGAGAAAAACCATTGTGATATTCGGAATCAGCACGTTCGATTACCTATTGTCAACTGAGTTTCAGCTCAAAAGCGAGGAGGCAGTTGGTGGCCTTCCCTCGTAAGTTTTTTACATTTTGGTAATGTTCGACCATCGATCCCATCTACGTGTCTTATTTGGTGGTTAATGAATATCGGTCTATACAACGGATGCACTATAATTATGGCATGGTATTCTGTTCATCTTTATTTATTAATATTCCACGATGGCATGTTTGCCAACAGAAAAAAACGTTTACTTTTTCATTATTTACCTATAAGTATATTACTTGTCTATATAGTAGTTTTCTACATAATAGTAATAACGTTTCCACCACGTATGAATACGTATGATTATACACTACCTGTTTGTAATGATTTTCCATGTTATTTGGATAATGACTATCTTGGTATATGGGATTCGATTGTAAATAATATTCTACCAACATGTATTATTAGCATTTCAACCATCATTCTTATTATTCATATTCATTATAGAGAATTACGTGCTCGTCAAACAATCCGATGGCATAAACAGCGTAAAACGATAATCTACCTTCTATTTAAATGTACACTATATCTTATTCCGAATATTCCATTGAATATTTTAATTTTCTCTCATATTTGCGGTTTATCAGATAATATAGGCGCTACAGCTCAATTATACTTCGACTTTCTATGTTATTTTGTTGTTCTATTATATCCATTTTTATGTCTGACCTCTTTATCAACTATTTTCAAGAAACTAAAGTGGCAAGATTTACTTTTACTGAAACGAACTCGGCGAATACCAATTGTCAGTCCACAATGAATCCACTAACAGGATTATATATATGTATATTGCTATAAATATTTGCTTTAGATATTGTTACCATTTTAATTTTGCCAAAATAAAAAATATGAAACATAAGTGTTGCTCTAATCAAGATTGATGCCTACAAGCATAGCAACATCTTCAAGAGTGTAGGAACTGAAGAAGAAATGAAACTATACTTCGTTCTTCTGTTTTTCATTCGTATCATTATTACAAATTAACAAAGAATGGAAAACAAGAATACAGAAAAGCAAAAGTAGACTATTCTTCAAAAATATCCTACAAATGAGTTCCAACGGTCCAAATAAAAATAGTTCAAATCTATTTCGTACAAGTACTTCAAAACAGTATATCACCAACAATGACGTATTTTAACACATTACTTACAACAACGAAATTAGTTAAACCAATACGAGAAATTTTTATGAGATTTTCATAATATGTTTCATATGCAATGGACTTCAATTTTCTCAAGTTAGTCTACTGATTCTTTCCTATGCTAATAAAATGCCATGTCTATCGACATTATTTTTTCACACTTTTCCATTGAACAATTCAGACAATTTTAATCATTAATATTGTTCATTTTTTCAATATGGATCTGAATAAATACAATATATCTATATTACAAAAACGCGTATCTGTGTAACGTGTTCGCTCATGTAACATACTTGCGAATGCAGTACTGACCACAGCAACCACAAGTAGCAGCTATCTGATTTCAATGATAGTATTCATTAATCTCAAAAGCAATTGAACAACATTTCTCTTTAGAAAATTTAAAGAATTTTCTTTTCTTCAATTATTTATTAAGAACATATAAATAAAGGCTTTATTGTAGGGTTCGAAAAAAGCGATACTTTCTTCAACTTTTCTCAAGTATGATAGGTTCATATTTATTTGAACGCAGCGATTAAGCTTCGTGATTAGATAGATGAAAATCGCTTTGAGTTTGCTCACACACTATTTTTTTTTCTTTATAAATTCATCACCACAAACATAAATTTTTGTAACCATTGTCTTGCTCTTGCATTTCGATACAGTTACAATGGATACGACACGAACAATTAATTGGCTTATATTGATTAGAAAGAAAAACGTGAACACAATGTGTATGCTATAGCTCTATTTGAGTATTCTTGGAGAATTTCTCTTCCCGCCAATTTGATTGTATTTATTATCGCCAATCACCGCAATAATAATAACAGTCATTATCAATGATCTTCTCTGTCTATCTAGTTTTTGTAGGTGACAGCGATGCTCCATACATTTTATTCGCATTTGTATTTTTTCTTTGATATGACATCGTTGTGTAGAAGTTCATCTTCTACTCATAAAAATGATCGACTGTTCACTGTCTGTAAAGTTATATCAATTAGAACTACAGAATGTTTCTAAGCCGTCATATGCTGCTTGTATCAATGTATTGATGTTCGAGAGAACACTGATAACAGTTTGATCAGTACATAGCTGTGGATCAATCACTGAAAAAATTCAATAATCCTTATTGTATTTAGACAAAACTTCATAGTGATTATTTTTCAAATAAGATTTATTCATACAAAGATGAAATGAAAAGAAAGAAATTTTGTTTTTTGATCATATGAACATTTTACTTCCCATAGTAAATTCGGTCCACTATATTTCATGAATTGTTTTTTAACTTGTACAAGATTTGTCATAGACATAGTATTATCAACATCTTCGTACTCAATATAGAATCGTTTCATTGTTGGTAATAAATATTTTTTCATCAAATCATGCCATTGTGTACCATCGAGAAAAGGAGGTTGCCTCTTCGGCAACGGAAATCTCGTAAAAGGACGTAGACAATTAAAAAAACTTAAAGTCAATAAAGTTGGCGAAATTATAAGTTGAAACAATTCTTCAAAATTTTCCAATATCATATTGTATTGATAGATTTTGACATGACGAAGTCGAAAAGGCAGATCGATTGATAATTCTTCATGTATTTGACTTACAAAATAAGAATTAGAATCTCGAGGAGCTACTCTTTTTCTCTGATTTTCAAAACGAAAATCAACTGTGAATACTATTAATTTTGCAAATCGATGTAATAATGATACCCAACGCACACGATCAATTATAGAAATTGTTAAACGTACGACAGTATTATTAATAATAGAAGAATCTAAATATGTTATTTCATTAATGTCATCATAACCGTCCAATGTAAGATATTTTAATAGTGGCAATTGTGTAAGTATATATTGAAAAGATTGAGCAGTCTCAGCCGCAGTTCCATGGGATCTTATATTCATTAATTGAATTTTCAAACTAACTAATTCATTTTTGAAATTGTTCAATGTTTCAGGTATTCTAGTTTGAAATATATGTAAAGATAAGTCTAACATAGAAATTGATTTCAATCTTATTCTGTCAGTCGAACTGGATAGCCTTTTTAATAAATAAATATCGTCAGAGCCTACTATAACTGAAACAATATTCTTCTCACAAAATATTTTTTGAAAGCTACGATAAAATTTTGTTGTTGTTTGAGATAAATCCAAATGAAGACTAGGTGTATGACGAACAAGTTCATTGATATGTTTATTGAGGCCAAAAAATGATATATAAATTTCGTTACCTGTCAGATAATCGAAAATTTCATAAATAATTTCTGGTGAAAGTTGTTCAAATGTAATAATTCTATCGGTACGATTACGACGATTTGAAGAAAGCTTTGTTGAAGTTTTCTTTTTGTTTTGTTGAGCCATGCAATACACTATAATGAAAATCGATTTTTTTTTCTATTCGTTTCTTGACAAGAAACAAAATTTTATAGAGAAAATATGATGCACTATGGCTTGTTAAAAGCATATGCGTCTATTCATGACGAACTGTATGTTACTCATTATTTCTTTAATAGCAACGTATTTTTTTCTTATTCCTTCGCCTGAACCTTCTATTCGAGAGGCGTTTAAGTAAGAAAGACATACAGAAAGACAAAAAGTTGATGAAATATTTCAGTATACAAATAAGAACAGCAGCCAACAAATCATGTACATTTCATCGGGATTAATCAGTTACTTCATACTATAAGCTCTGTGTTCGTTCTCTGAAAATTTAAAAGAATCAAGTTTTAAATTTAAGATTTCAAAGAATCCTCGTCAGGTGTTGCTCTAACACTTTTCAAAATACTAAACGAAGAAATTCTAGAATGTATGTAACTCGATAAACTTCACAGCATACGAAAAAAAATGCGAGTGATGTAGTTTTGAGTCGAAAGGTGTCTGTAAAATTGCGCAAGTTTCATTTATTCATTTTGATCAACTTATGGATAGCTTGGGCAGTTACAGATTAGGCAGGTAAACTGTGAGTAAGATTCTTCATTCTGTTTTTAGCTGAAAAGTGAACGATGGTTCATATAATAACTCTTGAGTTGTCGAAAACTACACAGTACATCACTGAAATTAAGAGAGAAATATAGACTAAACCTTTTGTTTGATTTCGATGTGTGACTTTGATTAATAGAATTGATATACTTAACTAATGACAATTATTGTATTAGAGATAGAAATTAATATGTTATAACTCTTTAAACAAAATGTAAACAGTCATATTGAGAATAATCATTTTTCAGACGAATATATATTTTCTATTTCTCGATTATTACTTTTGTACTTCTTGTTACTGGTAAAATTAGAGAAGCTTTGTATATGCATAATTTAAAGTATTAAGTGATTTCAACATTTGTTTGTCTTTTATATAATAAATAGCCAATGTATTTGACTTTCATATTGATTTCGATAACACAGGTTGACATGAATATATGGAAATTTAAAAAAAGACAAAAACTATAGAAATTCTCAATTGTCTTGTGAAATTCGTTGAAAATTCGATTTCGTCCCAGTGAGATCGATATCAATATATTATTATGATTTTTTTTTCTTTTAACAATTGATGGACGATCGTTTAAGATTTTCGATTTTTTCAACTAAACGTATTTATAGATATTCTATTACACCATGGAAGACAGTTGATACAGTTCATTTGAAAAATAATTAAAATATGATGCTTTGAATATAATAAAAGAATCAAATGTATTTCATTGTATAGTATTTTTTTTCTCTCATGATTATTTTCATGTACCATAAATGTTAAGTGTAAACAACAAAAACCAGAATTATTATCTACAATTTTCTTCCTTTCGAATCATCATGGTATCGCCCTCATAATTAACAATTGGTAAATTTTAATGATCATGTATTGAATCAATATAAAAATTTTTAATCATAGGGCGTTCCAGAAGTTTTTAATTAATTATAATTATTTTTCTCTCGTTTAATTGGCAAGTTATTCGAACTAAACTATATCATTTACATAGTACTACGATTTTACAAATACAGATTACAATTGCTGACTATAGTCTTCATTTTATACAGAAATTCTTTTCGATTTCGAGAAAAAAAATGAAATGAAATGATACGAACAATATACAGAAGATTCTGGTATGTGACCGTTCATGACCAATAGTAATACAATGGATTCAATATCCTCTATAGCACTGTAACAATATACATGAACTTCGTGCATTGTCGATTTACTTCTGTTCGTAGGTGTGTGATTGGTGTACGCATTGACTAGTGGTATGCTTATCATATTTTATTCTTGTATTAAAATATTTTCATATTTTAATTATAATTTGAGAACAAAAAATAAGCTGTTTGTAGATGTCTACTCTTATTTTATTTATTAATTAAAACAAAGTATAATATGAATTTAAGATTGTTTGATTTTTATTCTTAGTCATCAATCGAAGAAAAGTTAAACTAATAATAATAATAATAATGAAATTTGAATAACTACGAAGGTTGCAGTAATAAGTCTTTTTTATAGAAAAATGAAGCAAAATATCAAGAAATGGAATAGATATTGTGTATCTGCTAATATTGAATCACAAAATGTTTAAGAGAAATTCATGAATCGTTTAGAAATATCTGAAAACAAAGTTCTGTGACTAATGTGGAATCTTCATCGAAGTAAAACATCAAAAGTTTTTTTTTCTCAGTATCAAAATCAAAGTTGAATTTTATTACTTCTTAAATGGATTCATTCAAGATCTCAGTTATAAAGATGAAATACATTTGTTTTAAAATTGTCACATCTTATAATCTACCTAAATTGAAAATCATATCATTGGAAACGCTATTTCTGTATATTATATTGCGATTTGTTTAGATTCTATTGCTTAATGGATAACAATTGATTTATTATGGCTTAAAAAAAAGATTACTTTTCATGATGATGAAAGTAGTTTATCATCAACTCAATTATAGTTTCGATCATATATCATTTTCGGAAAGTTCGTTTCTTTGTATAAGCATACCGATAGATCTTTTGTTTTCCTCTTTGGATGCTTTCCAAACTGAAACGCTTAAATTTATACTTTTGCTCACATTCTTCATGCAACCAACTAATAAAATCTATTAAGAAATTCATTTGTTCCTTACACTGCCTACCGATCAGACGTATTTGTCTTTTCTTTCATTATACACATACTTAACATATATAATCACGCGGTGAGCGCGTGCTATATATATTTGCACCCAAAATTTCGGTAACATAGTCAAAACAAAATGGCTAATTATCGTCAAAAGGGTAACACAGGTCACACCAATAAAAAGAAAAATTGTTACATGGTCGATAATTTAATTGGTGAACCACCTCACAATTGTTATAATAATCAACAATGTAAATGTTCTCATTCTTGTTATGACCCAAATTCAAAGATGTATTTCGTCTCAAACTCGTACAAAAAACAACATGTTCCTCCACCTTCAGCCTCAAATATGGAATTATTAAATTCACCAGCACGTTCGTTACGTCGTTCACATTCTAATGTCTCTGATGATGATGATGATTTCCAAACAGTTGCCCACAAAAAAAGCAAACAATTGAACAATATGATTTATCACAACAATCGTACACAAGCTTCAGATCATCAACATCAAGTTAACCCCATGAAGAATAATAATATGTTAATGAATGCATCACGTCCTATTTCTCCTCGTACAACTACAAACCATACAAATCTTCAACAAAGTCATCAACAACAAAATATAACAACAGCTTCAACACGTTTTGCTTTGACAAGATACCCTTTTCCACCTCATATCGTTCGATTTAATTCCAACACAGTAACAATTAATAAATTTAAAGAAGATATTACCAAACATGTCAAGAATGTTTATCAACTTGATATCGAAGTTGCTAATTGTCGAACGTCAAATTTAAAATGCAATAACAATGAAATGGACATTTTACTTTATTTAAAAGATTCAACTTCGTTTGCATTTTTGTTAGACCAAGCTAAATAGCCAGCGCAAATTGCTGGGGAAGACTATTGTTTTCCTTCATCGCCTTCAATTCCACCCCAACTGTCTTTGATCATCAAAAATGTAAGCTTAAACATCGATTTTGATGAATTTTCTTTAGAAATCAAAAATGTATGTCCAGAAGTAAAAAATGCTATTAGAATGAAGAACAAATTCGGCAACAATATTAAACTCGTAAAAATTGAATTAACTTCATCTAAAGTTCGACAAGATTTATTAGATGATAAAAAATTAACAATTAATTATATTAGCTATGACATCGACCAATATCTTGCACCAATTAATGTTTTAATATGTTCGAAATATTGTGGTCTAGGACATTTTCGGAAACAATGTCCAGAATTAACAGAAACCTGCAGGACATGTAGTCAAACATTTCAAGATCTAAAGGATCACCATTGTGTATCAGACCCCAAATGTAAACACTGTAATGGTGATCACACGTCAAATTCAATGAAATGTCCAGTAGTGAAATCTTTTCGTGCTGAACTAACAAGAAAAATATTGGCCAGCAATAATAACCGGCCTGCATTTTCATCATCATCAACAACAACGAACAACAATTATCAATATAATCCTTCTGATTTTCCACCTATTACATCGTCATGGTCACCAGTAGATAGTCCAATGATTTCAAAACTAAACGATGTAATTACTGGATTAGCGCAGGTCAATGTTACATTAGGAAAACTTTGTGAAACAAACAGCAAATTTGAACAATTCATGGTGGTTAAAAATGCACACGATATGAAAATAATCGGTGAAATTGAACACCTTAAATCAAATGATAAAAAATTCGAAACGGATTTAGTATTACTGAACACAAAATCTCATAAACATGATAATCTAATGAAACAAAATGAGGAAATTTTAAAACAATTGTTACTACCAGTATTAGATGACATTTTGAAAATTATTGGTGTTATGAACAAGGACTACAGTGGACGACCATTGGATGCCGATGTCAGAAGTAGATTTGAACTTTACAGAGCACAAGTAGCAAAAGCAAGTGAAAGTAAAATCTTTAATTAATTTCTCTTTCACCCTTCGCAATACCATTCTTTAGTTGTTCAAATTTTGTATACACTTGTAGAAAAGAACAGTTTCTGATTAGAGCTATGGAGAGTTTATCTCCTTTCGATCATAAGCTTTTTCGTTCTATTCTTTCAGAGTGGGAAAGTGGACCACTCTTATCCTCATGTTTTTCTCTTTGGGAAAAGTTTTCTCCTAAAATGGATAACAATACTCTCTCCCCTCTTCATGTCTTATCGTTTAATGTACGTGGTTTGGAATTACGTTGGCACGAAGTCCTCCTTCTCACAAATTCTTTCAAAAGTGATATTCTCGTTCTTTTAGAAACAGGTGAACTTGATCTCTCCTTCTACGCCCAAGCCTTTCCTGAATTCAGAATGTTCTATCAGAATGGGGAAAATAAATTTGGTGGAGTTTTAATTTTAGTCAGAAACTGTATACAGGTCAAACGAGTGGAATGTATGTTACCAAATGTATGTGTGGTAGATATAAAGACAGAGAAAGAGATAAGAATTTTAGGAGTGTATGCATCAGAAAGTCGTTCTTGGAATTGGCAGAAGATTTCACCCGTTCTATCTGAAAACTGTGTCATTTTTGGCGACTTCAATGTAGATTTGGAACAAGACGTCAGTAAAGCGGAGAGTTTACTGAATTGGGCAGATTCGTATTTCCTAGCTCCATTCATCCCAAATAACCCCGCCTCACGTCGTTCAAACAGAGTTATAGACTATGCTTTTTCAAATAGTACGATTATAGATATTCAAACTTACAGTGGTAACACCACTAGTGATCATTACCCCATCCTGTCTGTTCTTTCAACGAAGATGAAAGAAAGGGTCAAAGGAAAATCAGTTCATTGGAAAGTATTCAATTTAATTACAGAATATACCCTTTCATATTGGGAAAAATATTGGTCATCAAATAACGTAGATACGACTTATAATGAATATGTTCAGTTTCTTAGACTACTCACTGCTCGTTGTACAATCAGCTTCCCTTTGAACAAATACAGAGTAGCAATTCCCCCAGAAATACGCACTTTCTTGTCTTACGTCAGAGCTATCTCATTTCGTCAAATGCGAACTAAAAGCATAGAACTAAAAAATCAAGTACGTGACTTAAGAAAAATAGCAAGGTTTAAACTCCGGAATTTTGTCTCGGCTCAGCTTTCTACTGCACTTAAACTCAGACATACCTCTTCTCCTATGTCTGTCTCTTTCTGGTCAAAAACCAAACGCTTTATAAAACCAGCCTCTTCTTCACTTAATGCATTCATCTCTGCCTCGGGTGAAGTGGTAACTGACTCAAACAAAATGTGTGAGATAGCAGCTGATTTTTACGAAGAGTTTTTTAAAAAGTCAGAAAACATAGTAAGACCACATCCTTACGTAGACGCTCCATGGACAGTGTTTGAAAATAAAAATGAACTGATTCCTGAAGTCACACTTGATGAACTTCTTCAAGTGGTAAATGATAGAAAGAAAAAGAAGTCAATGGACGCACATGGTTTATGTAACTTTATGTTTAAGTTCTTGCATTCTTCACACTGGATATTACTTCTACAACTTTACAATTTTTCTTTCGCTAAGGCGATCCTACCAACTGCGTGGAAGGACACTAGAATCTTGCTATTAGCCAAGAAAGATTCCATATGCTCACCGTCTCAAACTCGTCCTATATCACTATTAGATTCCTTCCAAAAGGTGGGCGAGCAGTTATTTTTGTCAAGATTTCGGGAGGTACTGAATAGAAGAGGTTTACTTCCGAATAATCAATCCGGCTTCAGAGAGAGGTTTAGATTACAGTCGAGATTACTATTGTTCCTAGATGATTTATATAGTCTTATGTCAAATAGCTCTCCAATTGCCACTATATTTGTTGATTTTAAAAGCGCCTTTGACATGCTGTGGCATGAAGGCTGTGTAGGTAAACTTCGACAAATGGGAATCCCACTAGCTTACACAGAGTGGATTAAAGCTTGGCTCGAAAATAGAAGAGGTTACATCGAAATCAATGGTGAAAAATCGAGATGGTTCAACATTGAAAAAGGGGGCCCGCAAGGAGGAATTTTAACCCCAACTGTTTTCATCGCATACCATGCTGACATGCCTGATTTCCTTTCCTGGTGTACCTCGCATTTCTTTGCAGATGACTTGGCGGCGATAATAGCCGGTCAAATCGGGATAAAATACACTAAACAATGTTTAGATCTGGAGAAAAAGCTCAAATTATTCGTTGATCAGCTTGAATACTATTGTATTCTCACATTGCAACCCATTAATTATTTAAAAACTGAAGGGTTGTGGAGTGCTAGAGCTATCAGTCCAGCACCCTTTGAAATTGAAATAAATAAAAACAAAATAAAGTGGACAAAGGAATTTAAGTACTTAGGGTACTGGATTACGCCTAAACTTGGGTGGGAAAATTTGATAAAAAAAGCAATGATAAAAATAAGACAAAGAGTAACAAGGATAAACTCGTTTAGAGCTGCTGGTAAGACGTCTGTTTCACTAAGAAGAGCCTTGTTTACTTCATATGTCTTACCATTGTTCACCTGGTTGTATCCAATTTTTCCATTTTTTACAGAAAATCAATGTAAAGATCTCTGTCATTTTTACTACACATGCTTAAAAAGAATTTCATTCTGCTTAGGTTGGAGTGATTATGTCTTCGCGTATGTGTTTGACGAGTTATCTCTTATAGATCGATGCGTTAGGTATTGGAGTAAATACCTCATAGCGTTATCGGACTCAGTAGATGGGGAGTTGCTTTTTGAGCGTGCATCATTGAATGAATTTAGACAGTCCTGGGCGCAGAAGGAGTTTTCAATTCGTTGTTTAAGAGTTTCTAAGAGATATGTTGAGAACATTTCCGTCTTGGAGAAATGCGTGAAGTGGACTTTAGACAACTCCCCTACAATCTTAACCCCTTACTATGAGCTAGAAGAGATTGAACTCCTCCAAAATTTCCCAGAATCGTTTCTCTAATTAAGGTCGCGAATTCCACGTTAAAAAAACATTCTTGATTCTTATATCAGCCGTTATCTATGTATCGTTGAATGCTCCATGTACTAGTTCTTGTTGTTCATTGTTCACCTTAGCTATGTATTTTTTTTACTTCTCTCTTCTTCTCTCATTATTAATTATTTCACATTTTGCTTCTTTTTTTTTCTCTCTTTTTGTTTGTTCTCTATGATGTCGTTATCATATTTTCTGACCTACTACTCTTTGCTGAGTGTCCTTGTCTTACGAAACACTTCTTCTTGTTATCTTTCCATTTGGTGTAGTGTATATCTCTTATATCTCTTATTATTTTTTACTATTTATTGGTAGATTTATTTAAGCATTTACTCATTGTACTGTAAGGGCCTAAAGGTCGTCAGTTATTGCAAAATAAAAAAAATAAAAAGAACTGACAACGAATGAATAAATGGGAAAATGGCATTGTTTCTCTTTTTTTGTTCTATATGCGAATGAACGCGGATACAATCTCTTTATATATACATTTAACATTTCCTTATTTTAAATAGTGAAGTGTATGGTGTATCCTCAGACTTCGTTGTCATGGACGAACTTCGTTCCCATGACACTAAATTAAGAAAGCAATACATATAGTGCTATAATGATTATTAAATATATGGACAGAGAAAAGTCAAGTCACAATAAAACGTAGAGAGAACATTATTAATAGTAAAATCACATTGATATTATAAATAATGGCGTAGCCAAATGGGGACTAGAGAGGACTCAGTTCCCTTTAGAATGCTCTGAACTCCCTCTACTAGAGACGGAATCCTGTCTAAAAGAGGCTTGATCCCCTGTAGAAATGTGACCAAAGTACCTCTGCTCTCTCTAGACATATAGTCAGGGGCTGAGCTCCTTCTATGAGTTTTTTTCTGGCGACGCCACTAATTATAAAGAATAACCGTAGAGAAAGGGAACATAGAAAAGAAAGAAAATACCAGAGGATAAGAAAGAGAAAAGGACTGTGACTATATTTATTAACTTTCACAACTTCCTTTTTTATTTCATTTTAGTTTATAACTTGAAATTGATCCAAATCGAAATTAGGGAAATGCTACCTATACCGAAAGTAGAGTTTTGCGGTTGCTAAAATTACCTGAAACTGGGAATACGATTCCGGTTCGAGGTAATAAAAATGAAAAACAAAATGATTCCGATTAGATTTCCAAAAGCACATGTGAAACCTGAACCACTAAATCATAAGATATATGCAGAAATTTTGAAACTAATTTTGCGAAATCTTAACTCATTAATTGTTGACATTATAGGTGGCTCACACTTTATTACTTAGATAAAACAACATTTTCACATATGTACTAGAATCTTTAATCTAAAAACTTAAAGAATCAAGATTTCTCAAAACAGATCACGACTATTCACAAATCAATTCATATCTTTTTCTTTACCTATGGATCTTCCTTTTGGAAAAAATGGTTTGCATTACATGTAATCAATAGCTAAAGATAAGTTGTTCTAGGCTTACAATACAAGCCGATAGATTTGTTTGGATGAGCTAATGAAACAAAGAATTTTATCGTAAATGGCAGGGCTAGAAATGGGCCAATTTTTCGTAGCCCGACTCGACTCAAAGTGGCCCAGATATCGTGTAGGCTCGCCGGGCCCAATTCACGTTTAGCTCAGCTCGGCCTAACAGGTCCAAAGGATATTTCCTTTATCAAGATTTCTTTCCCAAGATAATTTAGATATCACTTCGTTATTTTACTACTTGTCAAAGATTTTCTGTACACATAATTCTGAATATATAAGCAACTGCTTTAAACTAAATTTTGCTTGTTTTTTTTACTTTAACCTTTATCATTGTCCAAGCACACGATTGGTAAATAATTTTTGTCATTTCTTAGCGGTTTACTCCAATACACTACTATCTGTTTAAAAGCTATTTATTGAAGATACTGGGTTTCATATTACTATTACGATGTATTTCAGAGACACTTACAGAATTATGACTTCATGATC